GGCGATCCTGGGCAGCGGGTGGCCCGTGGCGCTGCACTCCAGCGTGACGCTCTCCCCGACCAGCACCTCCGTGTTCTGCGGCTGGATTACAAAAGTGGGTCGAGCTGTCACAACGAAACACAATGAATTAATCCCTCGAGTTCGGCATCCGTTGCTTGTTTTTCTGTGTTCGTGCGACTCGTTCTGTCTACTGACCTCTAAGCTACTGTCAAACAAACACGACTTAATCGCCTATTTTGCCGTCTTTGTTGTTGTTTTTTAAAGAAATGCACAGAAAATAAAAGCGGCCCCTGCCTTGAGTCTCGCGAGGAGTGGGCCCCATGAGCGAGGGGAGGGCGACTTCTCCAATAGGACAAGGCAGGAGAGCCCTTGTTCTGGCTTTTCCTGAGTCCATTCTGTCACTCTGGCTAAGCCTCTCTACAGTTCCTATCGGTATAAAACACTGTTTTCAAAGTGTAGTTAGAACATATACAATAATAAGTTTCACAAGTTAAAACTACACTGAGACAGCCCTCGCCGATTTGGCTCCGTGGCTAGAGCGTCAGCCTGTGGACTGAAGGGTCCCGGGTTCGATTCCCCGTCAGGGCACATGCCTGGGTTGGGGGCTCGATCTCCAGTAGGGGGCGTGCAGGAGGCAGCCAATCAACGATTCTCTCTCATCATTGATGTTTCTCTCTCTCTCTCCCTCCCCCTCCCTCTCTGAAAGCAATACAAAAATATTTTTAAAAAACGACACGTACATAAAGGTCTCATTCAATTGCTGTGTTATTTCTTCCGACCGACACCCTCATCCAGGATCCCGGACCCAACATGACTTCATCACCTGTTTACAAAGGTCGTGGCCACTCGCGTCCTCATTTTTCCGCTGTGACTATTCACAACAGAGGCTGAGATGTTTACCGATGAGCCGAGTGGCCCTTCTGAGAGAAGCTCCCAAATTTCTGAATTTAACCGGCACCTGGCCCAGCGGTTTCGGATAAAGGGGTAGGGGCCTGTGATAGCAAAAGACTTGGGGGACAAACCCTACATGTCCCCGAAAGGGACCCGGTTAAAGGGATGCGTTACAGCCTCTGCGACTCCCAGAGGCTTAGGAGTCAGGCTGCAATGACTCCTATAACTTGTCACCAGAGCCCGGACGGTGTGGCTCAGTGGCTGAGCATCAACCTGTGAACCAGTCAGGGCACACGCCCAGGTTTCAGGCTTGATCTCCAGTAGGGGAGTGCGCGTGCAGGAGGCAGCCAATGGATGATTCTCTCTCATCACTGATGTCTCTCTCTCCCTCTCCCGCTTCCTCTCTGAAATCAATAAAAACATTTGAACTGTCAGCACAGCCTGGGAACATGTCTGCGAAGGACCAGGGGGCATGTGTTCTGGGCTCTGCGGGCTTTGCTATTGCTCAGCTCAGCTCAGCTCTGCCCCACAGCAGAGAGCGGCCACAGACAAATCGTGAAAGAATCAGTGTGGTTATGTTCCAGTAAAACCTAAGTTACGGTCACTGAAATTTGAATTTCACATAATTACTATGGCTCCTAAAATACCACGGATCCTAACAACTCCTAGGTTTTCCAATCCTATAAAAACGTAAAACCATTCTTAGTTCCCAGATTATAAGGAAAACAGGCAGCTGGCCCCGTCCCGCCCGTAGGACAGCTCGCCGGCCCCGGTCCAGGTGGACGGGCTGCCTCGCGCCGATCCCCTCTGCCGGGGCCTCACCCCAGGTCCCGGGAGGCCCTCCAGGAGTATTTTAGGGAGCCTGACTGACAGGCTCAGAGTCGCACCCCAAAGAAGGCTACTGTTCCCAGGGAAGAAACAATCTCATAGATCGCTGGTTCTCAACCTTGGCTGCACATTAGAATCACCTGGGAATCTTTTTAAAATCCTGATTTCTGGGCCTCATCCTCCAGAAATTCTGTTTCTTTGTGATGGGGTGGGCCACAACGTTAGTAACAAAGAAACAGCATTTCCGGAGGATGAGGCCCAGAAATCAGGATTTTAAAAAGATTCCCAGGGGACTCTAATGTGCAGCCAAGGTTGAGAACCGCTGTCACAGGTGGTTAAACACGCCTGTCTGGGCAGCGGCTGCCTAACCGAGCCCCGTACTGACGTTGTTACTCTCCTTTGCTCTGTGACGCGTTCCTGCAGCGCTGCCTCCCGCTGGTCACTGTTGTGTGGGTTCCCCTATTCCTCACGCTGGCAGCCCCCGCTCCCCTGGGCCCGGAGCCCCAGAGGTTCCCATAGCAGGTGCCCGCTGGGCGCCCTGCGACGTGTCACTTGTGGGAGGGGTTTGACAAGGGCTTTGATGGAGGCAGGGCATCCCTTTGAGCTGAAATCCGAGACCAGGAATTTTCATTCACAAGAAAGGAGACCTTATGCTGGGAGGTGGCGAACACCAGACCCGTTTTAAAGAGCTGAGAATCTAAACAAAGAAACACTCGGCGACCACTGGCAGGGGCCGGAATACACTCACCA